TTTTTTTTTTTTTTTTTTTTTTTGAGGAATTGGTTTTCCCAGCCCCTCCTTTTTTTTTCCCTTTTATTTGCAATTAAAGCAAATTTTATTGACAATCAAAATTTCCTTTAATGGACAATTTTCATGAAAAATAAAGTCTAACAAACACCAAAATATCCAAAATTTCAACATTTTTAAGTGAAAAATTATACCAATCAAACACAATTAATTGACAATTCTCAGGAAAACAATTCTAGACAATTCATTTCCCTATAATTCATTTTATTTTCACCCAAATTCCACTTTTGTAATCAAACAGACCCTAAAATAGATTATAGATTTTGGAGTTCATGTCATTTTTATTGGGCCATGGTAGTGCGTTAAGGGGTTTTAATAGACTAAATTCGGTCCAATACCCTATAATTAAGTAATTTGATTAATTGGGGTGGGTTGAGCATATCTGTTTTGTTTGCAAAGTTGAAAAATAAGTGGAAAGAAAATGAATTATAGAAAATTGAATTGTTTAGAAATTATTTTACTAGGAATTGTAATTAATTGTATTTGATTGGTATAATTTTCCACCTGAAAAATGTTGAAAATTTGGTGTCCGTTTGACTTTATTTTTCATAAAAATTGTCCATTAAAATGATAATTTTTCTACCATTGGGTCTAGAATTTGTTTCAATTGTCAAAAAATTAAAAAAGATTACAAAAAAAATTTACTATACCGAATATCATTTGTTTAACTTTGTTTTGCATGAAAATTGTCAATAAAAGTGATAATTTTTTTTTTACCATTATATCTATAATTTTTTCTAATTGTCAAAAAAAATAATGGAAAACCATTTTCCCACCACTGGGAAAATGATTTCAAAGAAAAGCAAGAAAATGTGAGCGTGCAAGGAAAAGTGGAAAAAACATTTGCCTAGAAAAAACATATCAAACAAAGGAAAAGTGGGAAAATAGAAAACAATTTCAATTTTCCATGGAATTGACTCCCTATCAAACACACCCTTATTAATAAATTCCCTAGCTACTATCACTCCTCCAAACATGTTGCATAGACAACTCAATTATAACAAAAAATCCCCAATTCATGGTTCAATCATTATATAGCAAAATCACAAATCTGAGCTTTGTCCCCCCAAAAAATCCCCATTCCATTCCATTCCATCCCATAGATCAATATCATTAATATTCCAATCTTGTTTTAACCCATATTTCATGTCAAGAAATTCGCTTTACATACTACAATTTTGCAGCCGATGATTCTCTCGACTATATAAAAACCCTATTAGAGGTTGAGGCAATCACAAATTTACCTCTAGATCATACAGAATTCACAAATTTGAAATGTTTTTGTTACTTTCCAGCATATTATCCATGAAAATTGTGGTTGATAATGATCGTATTTTTTTTTCAAAAATTAATAAGATCAGACTAAAAGCAACGGGCTATGTCTACATCCAAAGTTAGATCGGTCAAGCTATTGAATCTGTCATGTGTGGTACATATTATGGAATGTAATATCCTCCTAACTGAAATCGAGTGCCTATGAAATATAAACAATTTGGAATAAAAAATTTATACTACCCACATTCTCCACGATTGGTAGTTGAATCTCAGATGCAAACTCTTGAATTGTTGGATATACTGTAGATGACTATTTCAGTCCTTGGGATATATGGAAATTTACTTGTTCAAAGAAAACTCTAGCATCTGATGTAAGTACTTAGGATTATTGCCGTAAATGTTGGAATTTCCCAATTCTGTAAATCTTCTAATCGACGAGCTTGAAAATGGATTTAATTACAAAGTTTGCTTCCCCAATACGAAATACATACACAGGAAATCTTCTACGACGTTCTTCATGCACCTTCCGATATTATTTGGAATTGCAACATGTCGATTTTGGGAGTAAATTTTGGAAATAGTATTTATGGTTTTATTATGTATATATAGTATTTTCATTTTTAAGTGACGTAAATATGATTTTTTAAATAACATTAAAAATACTATTTTCCTATAATTACTCCATCGCATGTTTTGTAACAAAGCAAACATGCCTGCATTAATTATATTTTCATATAAAAACCATTTTAAGAATACAATAATAAATACTTGTTATTGTAACAAAAATAATCAAAATTACTAGAAACTAATTTTTAGAAATAACCTAATAAAAAAAATAATATAGAAATATTTTTATTATTCTAAAAAAACTTCATATTGTACTAAAAATAATCAAAACTAATATTATTGGCTATTTTGGGTTAACCAAAATGGAATAACATGAAAATATTTAAGTCTAAAATTGATTTGAGTTCCAAAGTACAAAGGCTAGATTAGAGAACACAAAATTTTCACACATTTTAATCAAAAAACTAAAGATCATTTAACTACATATATATCGAATTATAGAATGACAAATGAAATATGTCGTGTTACATATCCAAGTTGTGGTTTGTAAGGGACGTGTTTATTTATAGTATATAGTTTATCACATTAAGTGAGAAACATTTCGTGGACGATTTTAACCCTGCTACAATTCAATTATCAATAATATCTTACTTTTCGTTTTTCAATACATAATAAATAATACAAATTCCTTATCGTATATGAATTTCGTGTTATTAATTCTTAATTAATTAACATTCACATTAATCTAAATTCAATTAATTTTGACTTGATAAATCATAATCTATATGAATCTAGAGTTATTATAGATAAATTTATTTATATTCATGTATCTAACATTTTTAATGGGTGTTTAAATTCATGTGCTACCAATTAATTCTTACGTACCAAACGTAGCATAAAAAAATATTGCTCATTTGTAGTATTTTATCATCACAAAAATTTTGAATCATAAAAGTTGAGTTTTGATAGTATAGTTTCATTTTCTGGAATTTTATTTTATTTAGTTTGTTTGAAACTCATCAAATCCTCCAACAAATTTGTATCAAATATTACTTTTATAGCACTTGTAAAGTATTTTAGAATAACATGCAAAGTGCGTTCAACTCGGATTAGTATAAATTTCGTGCAATTAATTCTCAATTAATTAATATTCACATTTA